GCACCGTGACTAAAATTGCAGCATATTCAGTCGGTCAATTCCCCAACGCCAAGTCAACTATTGGCTCTATACTTACTCCCTTGTCCTTGACCTTTCTAAATAAGGGCAGATATGCAAGCCTAGCTGATCATGCCCTGTTTCAGAAGTGATGCCGCTTCTAACACTCTATAAAACTCCTGCTTGCCCAAAACCCCTCAGGGAGAGAGCTCCACTGTTTGTGAGGCTCCGTACTCCCCCAGTCCACGACTGTTCCCCTTTAAAGAAAGGACATCAAACGCATTACCTAGCCCTTCTAGTTTTGTCATTTGACACAATCTTTTTAAAAAATCTGATGATTCCCCTCAGCCTGTTAATTCACGCAAATATCACTTTTCAGAGGTCACAGACATTCATTCTCTCAAAAAAATATTTACTGAGCACTTTTTGTGTGTTAAGTATCACACCGGTCAATCAAAGGTGAGTCACTTTACCTACCAGCTTCCTTATCCAGACTAGATAACTCTATGCCCTTCACTTCTAATTTCTTCAACAAGTTCCATGTTGAACTGAACACTCTAACGCAAGGTTATACCCTGTGTGGAAGAAAGCTTTTATGATGAACACATTATTATGTGATGGGAGCTGTGGGCTGAAACGTGGCCTCTCATGAAACAAGCGTAGATACTTGGCCACTTAGCACCTGGTCAGGACCTTGGTTTTCACATGGGTTGTTTGCTTTTTAACATGTAAGCTGGAGATTATATTTAAAATCAACCAGCTTCAGAACTATCAAATTAGGGAATGAAGTAGGACAATCTGTATGGTACAATTATGGCAGCTTTGGAAAAATGTATCTATGAACAGGACCATGAAGATCACTTTTTAAAAATGAAAAGGATGTGTGAATGTGGTAGGATAATCAGGGTTTTATTCTCTCTTTTTTCTCCTTAAAAATATATTTTTTATTATGTAGTTAGAATATCCTTTTGATATATATTTTTCCTAAGTGTAGGGTGAACGGTTAAGCAAATAGTGTTATGCACAAATAATGGCCTATCCATGTACTCATTGGGAAGTTTGTAAAATATTTTTAATAACATGGAAAAATGTTTAAGATGTAAAGTTTGTACAAATACTCCATGGTTGCAGTTGTATACAAATATAATGCAGAGTAAAAAAAGATTGCAAATAAGGTGCTGTCTCTGTGAGTGGTTGAAAAACAGGTAGCATCTTTGCTTCTTTCTATATTCCTTAAGTTTATACCTTGGAAAGATCCTGATTGTTTAGGGAGGAAAACAATAAATGTTATTTTTAAAAATATTTTGTGGTACAGAAAAAAATTCCAAGATAGATTAATTCTCTTACCCAGATTGCATATTCCTTTTTCCAACTGGTACCCAACCGGGCATTTGCAGGTATAGGATCCCTGAGTATTGTTGCACATGGCCAGGGGTGGGCAGGGGTTCAAGAGGCATTCATTCACATCTACAGAGGAGAGAAAACGGGGCCACACTGAACCTGCGGCAGACAGCAGAATCATTATCCAGTGCAGTGAGCACTTCCGAAGGGCCAAATGGCACTGGGTGCAGTGGGGCCCCAGAGATGAGTAGGATGCTGCCCTTGTCCTCAAGGGGCTGTCTATCTACAGGGGATGGAGGCCGTCATGTATATGACCAACTAGAAACAAATCAGGCTTTGAAAGTACAGAGAGTAGGAGATCCTGATGGAAGGGAGATTAAGGACTATTTCAGATAACATCTGAACTGGGACTGGAAGGACTTTAACAAGCAGATGGGGGTGGGGCTGCAGCCTGAGTCACCAGCAGCGAAGGCCACAGGCAGGAAAGCATAGGGGTCTTTAGGGAGCTATAGATGGTCCAGTGCAGTAGGGGCGGAGGCAGCCCACCAAATGGAGCCGGATCATGGAGACGCGTCAACATTATCGTCTGATGTTATTCTGCAGACAACACATAAGTATGCCAACTCTCAAATAAGTAGGGTTTTTACTTATGAAAAATCTTGCTTTCCTACATTTTGAAGGAAAACAGCATTATTGCCTATCTCAAGGACATACTGTAGTACAGACCACTGGAGACTACTTTTCCTCTTACCCATACTGCAGTCATCCCCTTGCCAGGAAGGTGAGCACATGCATCGATACCCACGGCTGCTGGAGTCCACAGAGCATTTCCCATCATGAAGACAAGGGTTAGTGGCACAGCTGTTAACTAAAAACACATTCCAGGAATAAAGCAGTTAATCACATAGGAAATGTAAAAGCAGCTCTAGGTAAATATTTAATTCTCCTGGCTAATATTTGATTTTTGCTTATTTCTGTTTACTCGCCCTGAGAGGTCGCACTACTAAAATAGAACGGGTTCCCGGGAGGTACAGAAGAGACGCTGAGGGACCAGATCCTGGCAGTAGTTTGTGTACGTGCACGTGTGTTAGACAATTGGATCCTTGAATGCAAGAATTGGTTCCAATCCTAATGCTGCTTACAGGTCACTCAGTTCAAGGCTGATGATTATATCGCCTTTGACACTCAGAAAATTCTACTTGAATCTCTGCCAATTTAAAACACACATCGGGGGAGAAGAGGTCCCTGATTAACCATCCTCCCTGCTCCAGGATTCCCCCGTTCCAAAAAAATCTTAAAATATAACTGGGCCTCCACATATGGTGCAATCATTTGGAAAAACAATCGAAGTTGTGCACTACAGTGCCCTCTCTTTACATAATGTGACTATGAACCCTATCTAATTCATCTAGGCCCTAATAGTGCCCAGGCTTCAGCATCATCTTAGACTCCCGGGGCGGAGACCACAACTCTCTGTTTTGGTATCTATAACTAGCACTGTCATGCTCCAGTTATGTAATAACTGCATAATAAAGCCTTCTGACACATGCTCAGAGAAGCTGAAACCCACAACATAACTGCATCATTTCCAAGCAGAAAAATTGCTGGAAGAATGAGAAAAGGATGGTAGGAGTCAAGAGTTGTAATGCCAAAAAAATAATCCTGAGAACAAATGAGCTAAACCTAACAATGGTGTTCCTATTTTGCAAGGCTACTTTAAATATACCTAAAACTACCCAAAGAGGCACAGGACCTGCATAACCAAACACCATACCATGGATACTATCATAAAAAATATATTAACAGGAAGTAACGATGTTACTTATTCTCGCCTACAGTTATCATTGTAATGACTGCAATCGGCTTTAAGGGAGATTTGTGAATTAGGTTCCATCTGGTATTGGAATAGATTTGGCTGGAAATGAAGCCCTGTGAGTCCTGAAGCAGGGCTCCCAGCTTCCCTGGAGTAGGATCCACCTTTCATTTCCCAGAGGTGTTCAAATCACTGGCACAAGAGAGACACTGATTCGCCTGACATGGGGGGCTGGTGGCAGGGGTGGTCATGGCCCTCCAGCCCCCAGGCTGACCGTGGCTGATTGGCTGGAACTCAGACACTAACTGAGCTCCCTTGCTCTAGTCACTACAAAGTACTTCTCTTCTTTCCTCCTTCCTTAAGACGTCAAGCTCCAGGGGTGCCTGGGTGGCTCAGTCAGTTAAGCATCTGACTTTGGCTCAGGTCATGATTTCACAGTTCATGAGTTTGAGCCCTGCATCAGGCTCTGTGCTGACAACTCAGAGCCTGGAGCCTACTTCAGATTCTGTGTCTCCCTCTCTCTCTGCCCCTCCCCCACTTGTGTGTGTGCGCGCGCTCTCTCTGTCAAAGATAAATAAAGATTTAAAAAATTAATTTAAAAAAACGAAAATAAAAAAAGATGTCAGGCTTATATAAGCCCTTCGCAGTTTTCCTTTTCTGGATCTGGACAAGCCGAATGTACAAATTTGAACACGACATCGAAAGATATACCATTCTAATTCCTTCTGCCTTTCCTTAAACTATGAAGAATCATGTGAATGGTTTTATTTCCCTCATAGCAGCCACTTCAACATGAATATAAAGATAACCTCAAGAGTAATGTCAAGAAGCTCAGGTCGCCCTGTCACTATCAGAAAAGGTTAGTTCATCATCCCTTTGCCCGCATTTGTCTACTAGCAACACGTTCTTAGGAAGACCAAGGAGCCCAGCTTCCCTTGAATCAAGAGAAGCCTTCCTGGTGACTGAGAGGCTCAGGGCTCTGACCAGCGGACAGAGCCTACTCATTCCCTGTCTCAGAAAGGCCACCTAAAGCTTCTCGATGCAGTTCTTCCACCGTCCCATCCCACAGCGCTGACCCGCTCTGGCCTCACAAGACTTAAAGGCATGCCTGAAAGGCTCTTGCATTTCTGGGAATTACAAGCCACAACGGTGCTACCTACTGATGCCATACACGGCCAATGGCATCCTCACCTCTTCCTTTAGGGAGAGTTAGGTAACCCAGAGGTGAGAAAATTAGGTCATCCATGACATTGTGTTATAAGAGGACAACACAGACACGGAACTATTGCAAATCTGCCACACATTCACAGGCATCCCGAGCCTGTGCGGCTCCGCCTTCTACCTGGGGCTGCTGATGACAGGGCTGTCGGTGACGGTGTGCTGCCCCGAGCAGTGAAGGTAGTAGATCTAGGAGTCAGTACTTCATCTGTGGAAACGCCTACGGTCTGGGGAGAAGGAGATGTTCCGAGGAAGTGTGAAGCCGGGCTGTTCTCTTCCGTCACACCGAGCCCCGTGGTCGGTCCTTTCACTGACGTGGGTACACTGGTCAGGGGCACCAACTGGGTGGTAGCATCTACGTGGGCTTGGCTCCTTTCTGTGGTGACAGCACTTTCTGTTGAGATTCGTGGTACTGGAATTTCAGGGCTGGTTGGCAAGAGCTGCTTTCCAGCCGTAGTCTGTACTGTTGTGGGGTCAGGCATCAGGGCTGCTGTGGTTGCCGCAGGGCTGGGGGGATGAGAGGTCTCAAGAATGGTGGTTGTCAAAGCTGGAGACGTTCGGGCTATGCTGGTGCTTACGGCTGGAAGGGTTTGCTCAGTGGAGGACTCTGTTAAGGCCGAGGGCATAGGGATCCCTGAGGTAGACCTCACTGTTACAGCTTCGGTGGCCTCTGTGGGCAGAGACTCCAGGCTCGGTGGCTTTGACTCTGTAATGACTTTCTCATGGTATGGGTTACTCTGGTTCTTAGGATTTGCCGTTTGACTGCTGGGAAGCATTGCCACAGACAACGCCATTGTCGCCGTCTGAACTGGAGTCACAGGCAGGACCAGAGTAGAAGGTGAAGGTGCCAGTGTTGTTTGGGAGGTGGACGGCGAGGCAGGGGTAGATGCTGTCAGGGACGCTGGTGAGGAAGACACAGGTGTGGGTGCATGGGGAGTGGACTGCAGTGGAAGAGTAGAGGCCCCGGTTGATGGTAAGATTGAGGAGAATGACTGGTGGGACTGGGATACTGAGGGCAGGGGCAAAGGGGGTCCCGAAGAAGAAGAAGAAGAAGAAGAAGAAGAAGAAGAAGAAGAAGAAGAAGGAGGAGGAAAAGAAGAAGAAGAAGAAGGAGAAGAAGAGGAAGAAGAGTTGCCAATCGATCCAGCATCAGCGTCCAGAAGAACCAACGTGTTTGGCATGTTAATGGTGGATGTGTAGGACGGAAGGTTGGCTGTGTGCAGAGCCAGGGACTCGGTGGAAGGCTGGGCGTACTCCCCTTCATAGGATGACACATTACTTCTTTCAGTCTGAGCCTGAGAAGAGGAAGAATAGTCTGAATGTGAAGAGTTTGAGATCTTAGCAGAAGAGGTCGAACTCTCCCTTATGTCCGGGGTTGAACTGTTGTCTACAATGGACAGCAATGCCCATTCTCCTTTGGTAAAAGTAGAGGAGACATAGGTGTGGTCTGCGTAGTCGCTGGAAGCCTTCTGTTCAAAGTCCGTGCCACTCGCTTGACTGTAGCTAATTCCAGTGACTGTAAATGGAAACACCAAAGTTAGGTCAACTAGACATACAAGAAATATCCCAAACACATACTAAACGCTTTCTTTGGAGAGGTGGTTTTCAACGGCGAGCCCTCTGGATGAGCAGTGTGGGAAGGCAGGAACGGGCAGGGTCTGCACAGAGTATATTTACCCTCCTGGGAGGAGTGTGGGTGGCAGCAATGCAAATGGTAATAAAAGAGAAGTGGGGCCAGGGGCTGAAGAACAGGGAATAGGTCCAAATTCCTTCCACATGCCTTTTTTGATAAAAGCAAACTGGTATCTGAAAAGCTCTTAAGACCCCAACAGAACAATTGTTCTGTCTAAATGGAAAAAGGAAAACCCTCCCCATTTTCCATTCTGTGTAATGATAATGAGATATTTCTTTCCCAGGAGACTGGCCTTGGCCACAACTGGTTGGTCTCCTTTATTCCAAGTATCCTGGTGGACAACACCGTAAGTGCCTTAGCCAAGTGCGTGTGGGGATAGGTTGTGGGGGGAGTGAGAGAACCTAGAAAGTTCTCTTCAGACAGAGCTTGTAAGGTACTTTCTGGGTTGACAGCAAACGTAATCCTTCTAGGACCGTGAGTACGCTGACAGGTGAGCTGAAGGAACGTGGGAAGAGACCCCGCTCCTCACCTCCCAGGGCTGGTGAGGCCGCCAGGGAACCTGAGACCAGGTGGGCGTCAGCAGTCACTGTCACGTTCCCGTGCTGGGTGGCACTCTCGGTTTCTCTGGGCACCACAGAGTGCCCCACTTCTGCAGAAGTTGTGCTCGTGTTGGTGAGAGACCGCGACGTGCGCTCTGCAGTCCCCGGGAAAGTAGCTGCAGTGTGCGGGTGGGGAGCCTCGGCAGTCCCCTCCTGCATGGCAGAACTTCCTCCAGGCTCAGGACCCTCCTCAGTGGCTACAAGGAGATTGAAAGGGGATGGCCAGTCAGTACAGGGGTGCAGCAGCACTGTCAGAAGCCTCAGGAACGAGCCTCCCTTCGTGCACTAAGTTAGCCTAAGTGCTTCCCTGTGCTTTCCCTGGTCTTTATGTGAAACTCACACGTGGGAAAACGAGATGCGTTGTCCCCCGCCCCACGGATCACAACCGCAACCTCAAGAGGCACTGCCGACCAGCATATCCGTTCAGGTGATCTGGATTTATGGGAAGGTTTCCCACTTCAGCGAACAGGATCAATATTGTATTTCTGCTCCATGATACATAACAAATAGAGTTTACATCAGGGAAATCTGTGGTGGTGGCAGGGGAGGTGAATGCTCAGCAAAAGGCTAACAACCCCTTTGAGGCTTTATACTTTCTGACAAGTCACAGGAGGGAGATCCCCAGGACTCCGAAGGCTTTTTACTTCCTGGTAGGACCAGTGATACCTGAACTGAATGGGGTTTGCCATTCTTTTAGAGTTTTGGTTTTTCCCCTTAATGCATGGTGGTTGGAGGTAAAGATGGGCTTATTTTCTGTTTTGTGTTATTTTTTTTAACGCATTTATTTATTTTCTTGGTGGGGATGGAATAGGGACAGGTGACACATGAAAACATCCTTTTCCTCCTTTCTTGAGTGTATGTTTTATACTATAAGCTCAAAGAATCTAATATTAGATTATCAAATAAATTCTTCTTCTCAGAAATTATGGAAAGGAGGTCTAACTCTTCTTGGCCTAAATACTTCCTAATCTGGATCTATAAGAAAACAAGTTATTTCCTGGTTCTTATTCCTATTCTCATACCAGACTAGCTCTTTTTTTTATCTCAAGTTTATTTATTTATAAGTAATCTCTACACGCAATGTGGGGCTCGAACTCACGACCTGGAGATCAAGAGTCGCACACTCCTCTGTGCCAGTCAGGTGCCCCCAGACTAGCTCTTGATGGACACACCCCAATGGAAAACAGAGGTAGAGCTGCATGTCAGGTAAGTTCACCTCATGATACGTTTGCATTAACTGACAGACAGGAATGAGTGTGGGGACAGGGATACACAGTGAGCTGGAGCAGCACAGAGACAGCCAGGAGGCAGGTGAGATGTGACTTGACCAGGCTGAAGGGCCTAAGAAACTCATGGGAAGTCCACCAGGAGAGGCTTGAGGGCCGTGTGTATCTGAGCACAAGTTCCCGGGGCAGAGAGAACAAGGCCTGGGGTGGGAGGATTGTAAGACTCTTAAATGGAATTTAGGCGAACCACCACGTCAGGCTTCCAGGGTTTAGAAAGTGGAGAATCGTGACCTGAGACGGAGGGGCTGCATCCAAACCCAGAAAAAGGAACAGACCACGAACTCTGAGAGGCTGGATGGCAGAATCAGTTCACTCTGAGTGATTCAGAGCAAATGAGATAAGGCATTTGGCTAACCGACAGCGAGTTGGTTTCAGAAAGGAGGCTATTCCTTATGTAGCTCTTTATAACTGAACGCTGAGACCTGCTCACACTGACATCACAATTTCCATACAAACCAAGGGCGCACGCATTACAGAGCAAAGGGTCCTAGTACTGAAGAGATGCACGCAGGAAAGGCACCTGAGCTCCTGGTCTGAGGAGGAGAAACGTTGAGCCCCACATTGTGAGGGTGGAAAATGACTCCTTTTGTTTAGGAGACAGATAATGCATTTTCCATGGACACACATGAAAGAACATAAATATTCTCCACCCATGCATTCTTTCATGACCATGGTATTCTTTCATGACAAGCATATGCTTTTCCACGTCACATCAGTAGTAATAAACGCGAGTTTTCCTCACCAATTAGGATGTTCATATGGGGGAAAGGGAGCTGCTATTATTAGTAGTGGTGGAGAGGTAAGAATGTAAACCTGTTATAACCTTAAATGATCAATTATTGCATTTTTGCTTTAGTCAGTACATGCTTTGCATTGACAAGGTTGCTGAGAATGGTTTATGAAATTGCCCAAAAATGTTATTAAAAAGGACCATCCAAGAAAAAGTTTTCTCAAATTGATAAACTGGACTTCATCAAAATTAAAAACCTTTGTGCTGCAAATGATATTGTCAAGAAAGTGAAAAGAAAACGCACAGAACGGGGGGAAATGTCTGAAAATGGTATATCTGATAAAGGAACAGTGCCCAGACTACAGAAAGAATTCCTAACTACTTTTAAAATGGTCAAAAGATCAGAAAAGACTTTCCCAAAAGTGAAAAGATACACAACATCATTAGTCAGCCAGAAAATGCAAATCAGAACCACTCGTGACACCACTTCACACCCCCCAGGATGACTAGAATAAAAAAAAAGATGAACAACAGGAGGTGAAGAAGCCGAGAAACTAGGATCCCCCGTCCCTCCTGGTGGCGGTATAAAGATATAAAGCAGTGCAGCTGCTTTGGAAAACAGTTCGACAATTCCTCAAGAAACAGGGCTACCATAGTAGCCAGCCATTCCAAGAGAATTTAAAACACATATTCAAAAAATAAAAAATAAAATTAAAAAAAATAAAACACACGTCCACACAAAAACTTGTACTGGAATGTTCACCACGGTACTACTCACGATAGATGAAAGGTGGGAAAAACCCACATGTGCAATCGTTGACAAAAGGATAAATGAATGTGGCACATCCGTGCGATGGAACCAGTACTCAGCCACACAAAGGAACGAGGTACTGTCACACGCTACAACATGGACAAACCTCCAATGCACTATGCTAAGTGAAAACCACAATAGGCCACCTGTTGTATGATTTCCTCCATAAACTGTCTAGAATAGGCACATCCACAGAGACGGAAAGTTAAGTTAGTGGCTGTCAGAGGCTGGGAGGAGGAGAGAACACAGAGTGACTACTGATGAGCACCGGGTTTCCTTCTCGGAATTAGACAGTAGTGGTGGCCGCTGTATTACAACTTTGTAAATACACTAAAATACACTGAATTGTATACTTTAAATGGGCAAATTGCATAGAATGGGGATTATATCTTCATAAAAGCTGATTAGACAAGAGGGAGAGTTGCTCTTGACGAATGCCCGGACTTGGGGTGAACAACCACCCATGAGAAGGTGATATTTTCACCTTCCAGAAGCTGTGTGATTGAGGCAGGCATGGGGGTGTGGGGTAGGCTACAGGGCGAGGAAGGACATGGACAGAGAAGTCCCTGAGCTGTGTGTGACAGGGGCGGGTGGCAACAGCAGCTCCGGGGAGATGTACCAGAAAAAAACCGGAGATATACAGCTAGAAGAACGGCCTGGGAATAGTGACAGCAGAGGGGCCTCTGGAATGGTCCATTAACGCACGGCCTTACTGTGCCACAGAAGAGCATGAGCCTCGTAAGCCCTTTGCCCTCCGAGTGGTGCAGTTCTGTGAAGTGGAAACTCACTTGAGCACTCACCACGTGCTGCTGAGGAATCCAGGCTTTCTGAGGAGGATGAGGACAAAGACTCGGTGGCCGGCTCAGAGTAGCTCCTGTCGCCCAGTGCTGCGTCACTTCCTCTAGACTGGGACACAGAGGCTGAGAACCGGGTCAGCACTGAGGCGTTCACAACTTCAGGATAGGAAGTGGAGCTTCCTGTCGCATCTGCGAATGTCTTGCTGTTGGTCAAGAACCAGCGTGCTGTGCTGGCTCTACTTCTGCCCGACAGGACCGACCTAGACACAGTCTCAGTTTGAGACATGAGACTTCCATCCTCTGCGTCTGAGCTGCTGGCAAGCTGCTCTCCTCCCAAGGCTGTAAGATGTCAAGGAAACAAATGTCATGACATGGATGTGAAAGAGATTCCCCAACAGCTGAGACGTGAGTCTTCTCTAGGGAAAGGTTCCCTTTGCAAGGATCTTGTATGGTATTTATTTTACGTGTAACCTGACATGCATTTTCATGTTCTAAATAATTATTTCAAAACTCTTCAGTGTCAATAAGATAGCAATACTAAAAATAAGCACTGGTGAAGAAGGGAGCCTTTAAAGAACAAGTGCAAAGTAGCAGGGCAACTTCTAGGCTGTGGTGTTTTACTCCCTTTCCCCAAAAGTGGTCAAGGGAAGGAATACGTTATGTCCAACAACAAATATGACGTGCCTACCTACAGTGCTTAGTCACATGCATCTTTCCAAAACAGTTCCATTATTAATAAAGATTATTCTAATTTTCAAGTATAGCAAACAAAAAATAAACTATACGGCATAAACTGAAGCCATGAGTTTGGAGGAATATATTTACGCCTGCACATTTTATTTGGAAGAATGATCTGTACATAAAATAGCTCCAGCTAGTCTGAAAGAGCAGGCCAGCCCTCACCTTGAAGACAATCCCACAGAGCGGTAACATGCGATTGACAGTGACCGCTCCAAGGCCAAGCTCTCAGCTCTGCTGTGAACAAGTTACATGCCTGTGCCCTCATTTCTTAAACCCTCTGGGCCTGAGTTTCCTCGTCTATAAAAGAGCAGGAGGAATGATGCCTGTCTGATGAACTTCACAATGTTCGCATAAGGACAAAAATAAAAATGTGATAATGTGGTATACCAGACAGATAAAGGAGATGGTGTTAGCTAAGAACACACTTTATTTATTTTTTGAGATTTCAAATGGTCTTGAAGTGATCTTTTAAGGCAATCCAATAGTTTTTAAAAGTCCATGATAGATCAAGTAAAAATTAAATACTTACTTGGGGAATCATTTTGCCAGAATTCCACTGAGACCCCAGAAGATGTGAGGCCAAATCCCTTTTCTGTGGATGGCTCAGTGAATTCCCCATCCTCTGGATTCCTGATTACTCCACTGCCTCTTCTCAGCTCTGCCTCAAAGGGTGAAGAACGGGCTGATACTGAAGTCATGGCAATTTCTGAGTCCTTGGGGGAACGCTCCGTCTCATTTAGAGGTCGTGGACTGCCGGTTAAAGACTGAAGCATCCCTGGGACACCACTGGGGAATGTGGTGGTAACACGCACACTCTGTGTCCCATTCAGCAAGGTGCTTCGGAGAGTAGTGGAGTTGTTAAGCATCTCAGTGCTTCCAGAAGCTAAAACAGAAGAAAAGATGCTTTAAGACTACTCAAGAGTTGGGGGCGCCTGGGTGGCTCAATCAGTTAAGCCTCCGACTTTGGCTCAGGTCATGATTTTGTTTGAGCCCTGCGTTGGGCTCTGTGCGGATAGCTCAGAGCCTGGAGCCTGCTTTGGATTCTGTGTCTCCCTCTTTCTCTCTGCCCCTCCCTCACTCATGCTGTCTCTCTCTCTCTCTCAAAAGTAAACAAACATTAAAAAAAAAAAAAAAACAACACTTAAAAAAAAGATTACTCAAGGGTTTAAGAAAATCAGGGATGTATCTAGATACAAATAATGTTTATTACATTTTGTTGAATAAATCTAGATAATGTAGACCTAATATAAACACATTTGACACTCTCTCTTCACAGGTTCTGATTTTCACAGAGTTCAGTGAAGAAGCAGTGAGGTCCTTCAAGCACAATGAAAAGCTTCGGCTCTGGCTGAAGGGAAAATGGAACAAAGCCTCTAGACATTCTTGGCCTTGGCTTTTATAGAGGAAGGTAAAAACTTGTACTCTTGAATTCCACCTTATAGATCATGTAGGGACAGGCCATTGTGATAAGGTACAGGTTTTTGTTTTGTTTTATTTTAGCAATGTAACCCTTTTGTTCAAATGCTATTATAGATTAAAACCCGTACGTAAAAAATGAATAAAAGTAAGGCAGTGGTAGGAGCCTAGCCCCCAGGTCACCAATGGGGAGGCCAGGGCTCCACAGACCACAGTGGGAACAATACTAGCCTAGAGCAATAATTTCTGGCCTTGTCACCATTAAGGGTTCTTTATTATTTCCCACCTCATGGCCACCGTAACCCTTATGTTCTGAAAGACTATAAACTGAACTGCATTTAAGAAGTAACAGAGCTTCCGATCAGCAGGAGATACTCAGTGTTACCCCACTGATTTGATTTAATTCCATCCAAAAGCAAACAAGCTTCATTATTGTAGTTAGCCTCATTAGGCTTTGGACACCGACTCTCAAGCTTACATACTACCCCAGTGGACCACGAGCAAGTCGAAGACTCCAGGCGGGGAACAGTTTTTCTGATGAAAAGGATGGCAGGATGGCAGACACTGGATTAATTTGCCAAGAACCTCAAAAATGGATTGATAGGCCATTTTGGTCAAAATGTGCAGCCTGTTCCACAGGAGTACAGGTGGCTTGCTCATGTCTCCCTTCCACAAAGAACTTTCCAGAGGATACCCTGAGAACTGGCCTCCGGAAGGGCACACTGACGTGCTCATTCCAAACAGGAATAAACTGCAGGAAAGCTTGGTGAGTGGGAAGAAACATGGCAGGCAAGATCCAAAGGCAAGAGAAAACATTTTTCTTTTCAAGCCAAAAATAATAAAAAGTAACTCTATACCTTTATAATGAAAGGTTTCAAGCTGTTATTTTTGACCCCGAAAGGGCAGAATTAACTTGCCATTATAAATGGTCCCTTGAAGACCAGACCTATGTGTAGTTGTGACCAAAAGCACAGATAAATATTAAATATAATTAGAGAGAGAGCAAGAGCGCCAGGAAATAAAGGCTCCTCTTACTCTTGTACAAACCATGGAACCTGTACTATATATACCTAGAACACAGCAGGCAGTTCTGGACACTGGGCCACAATGAAAGCGAAATGAAGAGGTAAGCAAGCCACACAAATAGACGGGACCCCAAAGCGGAGTCCCAGCTGACCTAACCATCCCCCTCGCTGAAAAACATAAACAACCAAATAAAAACGCATTAGTATATAAAAAAAGGAACCCATCATATATGTATGCCCCAAATCCTCACTAGCCACTTAGCCTCTTAGGACCTAACGTCATTAGAATCATCGTCTAAATCTGCCCGTTTTCAACCTCCTCGGTTGCTGGGTGCTCTTTCAAATCACTCTCATCCCCAGTCAACTGCATTATTTCATTGATTCACTGCACAGCGGCAGCTATATTGGACTCAGCCTCCAGACCTGTATAGCAAATCGATGGCCACAGAGACGCAATTACAGAAGTCACAAATGCTGAAAGCCACAAAAGGAAAATGGCTGCGTTCTCTCTCCCTGACTGGGGCCCCGTGGAATGCTGCTTCACCATCTCATCAGCATTATTAAAAGCTGCCATTTACCGACCAAGTACAATGCGCCCGTATTTTATATATACCTTTGTACGTTGTGCTAAGTACTTGATTTACATAATCTCATTTAATCCTCATGGTAAAGCTATGGAGCAGTACGAATGCTTCTATACAAGTGGTGAAAAGGAGAAAAAGTTAAAAGTTCATCTATAACCACCACTTTTACTATTCAATGAGCACCTGCTGAACACATCTGGGGGAAATCTGCCATGTTTCCAATCGACAGGCCAGCAATATTGGTTATTTAATAACTGTCCTTCCTTGCTCATTTCTACTCTTGAAGCACCCATTCAAAAATGGGAAGACCATCCATTTGGGAGCAGAAACAAGCCAAGTTCCCTAATCTTTATAACAGGAGGTGGAAAGAATGCCCACTCATCTGGTAAAAGTATGTACATCACTCTCCAACCACAACAGAAAATGCTGGAACCTCAGGCATGCAGCAAGTGCTCAACCTTGGCTTGACTGCTGTCCAGAACCTGCCAAAAATCCAGCTGAAGCGGCTGATAGTTGAGAAAGATACACTAAGTCTACAATCTTCTGAGTTATTTATGCTCTCTTCCTTTACAAAGTGAAATCACCACAAAGCAATTTACCTGGACCACATTAGCTCAGCTACCCACAGAAGTACTTTCATGAGTTGAGACCCATTATTACACCCTCAGCTCCTACTGAGAATCTATATAAAATATCACCTTTTAAAGAACATTAGCACAATTTCCTCAGAACAGCAACTGATGGCATTTTTCTATTACGAGTCTCAACATTCCTTATATAAATAGTCCTCTTAGAATTCACTGCCCCCATCGGAATGCAAGCTGGTGCAGCCACTCTGGAAAACAGTATGGAGGTTCCTCAAACTAAAAACTAAAACTAAAAATAGAACTATCCTACAACCTAGCAATTGCACTACTAGGCATTTATCCACGGGATATAGGTGTGCTGTTTTGAAGGGGCACATGCACCCCCATGTTTACAGCAGCACTATCAACAATAGCCAAAGTATGGAAAGAGCCCAAATGTCCATTGATGGATGAATGGATAAAGAAGATGTGGTGTATACACACACACACACACACACACACACACACACACACACA